TTGAACTGGTTTGAACTGGTCAAATTTCACCTGGAATTTTATACCGCACGGAATAGATTCAACAAGTCGTTTAAAACTTTACCGATTTACGATTTTTTAACTGAAAATTTTAGCACCACGGAGAAAAATTATACATCGCGGTAGGAACGATACCACCACGGTAAAAAAATATACATCGCGGGCCCGCGGTCCTTTAAGGGCCTGGGGAGAACACTGAGTATTTTTGCCTCTTTGACTTATGAGATGACTTTAATTTTTGGGTTTTTTTTTTCAGTGCCAATTGATGAGATAATGTTGAGTTATGTCATCAGTATCTTGGAAAATTTAGGAGATGACCAGAATGCTGAGGAGAATATTGATGTGGACCAGTTTACGGAGATGATGGATGCATACATTCCTGGATTAAGTAGCATTGACAGGTATTAATCAGGGGAGATAATTAATAGCACATTAAGGCAAGAGAACACAATTATTTCATAGTGCATTAACAAAAATTCTTTTAGACCAAAAACTAAAATAAAAAAAATGGCACTAGCTCAAACACTCAAGCAATTAGAGCAAATCTGATGAGAGGTTAAAATGTTCATTAGGCCAAGTTCTATCAGCCATGAAATTTTCAGATGAATCTAACAGTCCATTGTTTGGTTGCTGCCACTAAATTGGTAATTTTAAGGAATTTTGCAGTTTTTGGTTATTATCTTGAATATTATAAATGATAAAAATAACCTGTGAACATCAAAAATGTTCAGCAAAGTAAGATCTACAAATAAGTTAATATTACCAAAATTGTCAAATGTGTCCTTAAGGAGTTATCGCCCTTTAAAAACAATTTTTCACAATTTGTTCATCTAGTTTGCTTACTTTAAAAAATCTTCTCCTTTGAAACTGCTGAATCAGTTTCAGCCAAACTTGGGCTGAATGAGTTTCAGAGTATCTAGTATAAATTTTGTATTTTATTTTCTTGTACGTCAAGAAACATAGCCACTATAGCTTAAATGGAACATAGGGGTAAAATGTATTTCTTTGCTTTTGAAGAAAATATGACAGATACAAAGAACATTTCAATGGAATTTTTAAGCCACTTATTTAACAAACACTATCACAATATATCATTTTCTAAGTCCGTGCTAAGGTAATCTATTCCTGAGGTAGAAAAGCCTTAGTATTTAAAAAATTCAAAGTTTTGTAAACAGTTAATTTATAATTATGCCCATATCAATGATAATTCATGTCAACACAGAAGTGCTGACTACTGAAAGTATCGTTTTCCAAATGATTGCCTTTATTAATCCATTTACCGTGAGTTTGGAAGGTTCTTAGGAGTTTATCATGGGGGTTTTTCCTTGATGGTTTTAGAGTTCCATTTAAGTCACCACAGAGAATATGAGTGAGATCTGGATATTTTTCAGTTATATGTGACACTATGTCTAGATGTTCTCTATATCCTATTTGTGAATTTTGTCCGAAAGTTGGCATGTATGACTTGTGTTTATGAGACATACTGTATGTTTTTTTTAGCTCAATTTATAGCCATGGCTCGTGAATTGCCATTTGGACGTTTGTGAATAAATTTATTTAGAGAGGTAGGCCACATGATTGATGTACCTGCTTGTCCTCGGCGTGCTTTAAAATGGGATCATTGTCGTCATGAGAACGTGAAACATGGTATGTAGAGGAAATTTGTTTCGTATCCCCATAACCAGTGTTCTTGTATGCATATAATAAGATTATGGTTTTTAGCAATGTCTCTGAGATAGTTTAAATTTGATTTTACCCCTTCGATATTTTAGGTCATTGTTCTTAGTCCCGGGTGCCTGTCCAATTGTCCTGACTTATATATGGTGGTTCCTTTGATGGAGGAAGGTATAAAAAAGATGTGTAGGATCGTTATGAGCAACATCTTTGTTGGGAGCTAGATCTTTGTAACGATTTTGTTGGTAGTATGTGCCTGATTGATGATTTGATTTGATGGTTATTTTGGGTATCAATTATTTTGCACCTGGTTGATGGTTCGATTTGATGGTTATTTTGGGTATCAGTCAGTTTAGCTTGGACTTCCCATGCTGACTGGACTGATCCCTGTCTCAACATCTGATGGTCCTCTTGTGAGTGGATTACGGATTTTGCTTGATTATCAGTGTTAGTCAGTTTAGCTTGGAATATCCATGCTGACTGATCGTATACATCCTGCACAATATTTTGTTTGTTTTCAAGCAAACAGTCTGTTGTTGCAAATCTTGAAGGGTGGGATGAAATGGTTGACTCTGAAGATGGAGTTCTAGGTTTATTTGTATGACCCCTATCCTTGTTTTTTCCTAGGTTGAGAGTATTTAGGTGGCGAGTTGTATTATTTGGCCGACGGTTAATGTCTCCTGGGTAGCTTTTTCTATGTAGTTCGGATGTCCTAATTTGAGAGGAATTCGTTGGAAGTGGTTGAGAGTAACCCAAAGCATTTGGATGATAGACCGGCTCAAAATACGATGGCGGAACATACCAGGTAGGTGATGGATGCCTATGATGAAAAGTTGGCTGGAGGAGTGGTGGTTGCATTCCGTATTGAGATGGCGGAGGTGGAAAGAACATTTGCGTTGGCATCATGTAGGGAGGCATTGATGTTTAACTTTGCTGCTGATTGTTTGTTGTTGTATTTGTATGGCCAGCCGTGTTGTCACTGCGGTTTGTATTGATAGATTTTGCATTGTCTGAGTTTCCACGGCTTTGAATCTGGATTCCAGCGGCTCTTTTCACAAAAATCTTAATAGTAAAAATACTCGTAAGTCATACACATTTCAGTATCACTTACAATCAATTTTAATCGTAAGATTTTTTTGTGAAAAGACTCGTAGAGCTTTTATCTCAATTTGCCTTTGTAGGTTAAGATATTGGTAGTCTGGGGGTGTGTGAAACTGTTGAGAATGGTTTGTCTAAGCACATTGACATGGTTGTTGGTAATTTGTAGAAGTACTTTGTGTTTCACCACCACATATAGCTTCTCTCTTTTTTGAAGAAGGTCGATTGTTTTTTCTTGCTCTCTTATTTGCTTTTCTAGCTCTATATTATATGTTCTGTTTTCAATTGATTTATTAGTTTTTGAGCGACTTAATGATTTTGGTCTAGTAAGGGGAGTGTCCTTACTCAATTCACTTCCTGATGGGGTAGGTTGTTGAGAATATTGATGAGGTTTTTTACCAGGCTGATTAGACGGTACAGTTGCGGACCATTGATTATGTAATGTTTTGTCTTCTTGATCTGAACGCAATGTGTTTGGAGTAGAAATATTTTCTGTATTGGCAGATATAGAAGTGGTATTGTCATTCTGATTTGGATTTATTTCTGCAACATTAAATGTGGTCTGGTGAGGTGATTTTATAGGCATTTGCTCATTCTCCAGTGTAGAGATATACATATATCTACTATTTTTGATTTTACTATGGTAGCCAATTGTTGGCAGTTGGTCATTGTTTGTACTATTGACAGATTTTAATTCAGTGTTTTCTGACTTTGGATCATATAAATCATTTTCATTACATATTACACAGATAAATGGTGAATTCGGGTCAAGCTTGTTTACATCTGTTATTGTTAGTCCGACACAGGTGTAGTGATACCATTCATCACAACCTTCACGTGCTATCTGTAATACTAAAATAACGATTCAAGTCCAATTTGTTAGCCGTCATGACATAAAAACGACGAATCAAAGAATTCAACTTTATATATAACTAATATAGGACAATAGTGTTGATTAAAAATTACACCATTCCAGGCCCTTTTTTTTCCACTTAATTAATATTACCAAAAATTAACAAGTTCCGGGTCGAATCCGATACCGATACCAATAGTATATGTCTTATTCTTCTCTTCGTTCGTAAATTCCTCCATTATCGGAGCACCCGTGTCACACGGGTATTAAAAGCCCGTAATGTTAATACTATTTATTTAAAAATTAAGAATTAAAATACTAAAACAAAAAGGTTATATACGTATACATTCCTTCATAAAATCTTATTGTCCTAAAACTATACAGTAATTTAAAACCCGTTATTGAATACTATCTACACATTTTTAGTGAAAGTAAATTAAAATCCAGGCTATATGTATAAATAAGGCATATGTATTTAATTGAGTCACGGATCCGCGATGTCGCGGGTGTGTTCTAGTAGTATTTAAATATGCGTCTTGACAGGTGTATTGTTGTTCTTTACATTGTTCCCTGTTAGTTTCTAGACCAAGATTAGATTTTGGGCCTTGTTCATTGATCTTCATTATAATGGTTATTCAGTGACTTTGACTGATTTCAGTTTTGTGTTTGTATCTTCTAATTGATTAAAGTTTAAGGCGATATGGTCCTCTAAAATTGGTGAGATAGTTTCTGTGAAGATGTCTACTTTTTTGCCATTTATCAAAAGTGATGATGTCGTATTATACACATTTATGGTAGATTTTAAATATGAGCCTATGAAAACATCCTTTCGTTTGTTCAGTATTTTGATGCTCAACTATATTGTAAGTTTTGTCTATTACCTTCTCCAAATTAACCACATATTCTAATTGAAAGGTTTTACTATGTAAAATTTCACCCAGTTTTGCTTTTGTTAATTCAAATGCTGTTGTATTGCATTTAATTGTGAGATAGTTTTTTGCCTCCATTTCATAGGTAAATGGCAGTGAAGAGCAGTTCTCCTGTTTTGTTTTTGTTTTTTTTTATCAAGGGCACTTTCCTGATTCAGAGTGTTATCTTTTTGAAATAATTTCATATTTGCATGATTTTTGAGGCGATAGACTTTGACGCAATAAATTAGTATTTGATCTGTTGCTCCTGCGCAATGTTTTTGGCGGGCTGTAACCTCCTGTAGCCATAATTTTTATAAATGGTTTTTGGATATTATTAATGGGTTTATACAAATCAGCACTAAAGTCCTAAAGTTCTAAAGATATCACGGTTGAAGAGCTACTGAATTATCTCCCCTTGTCGTGATTGATGGCATTTCAGTCTGTTTAATAACTTCCGTTGCACCTGTTTACATTTGTGACATTTGTGAGTAACAAGGAAGTAATAATACCAGAAATGGAATCGAAATATGACAGAGTAGATGTCCCCGACAATTTATATCTGCACTCAGACGATGAACCAAATGATTTTGGTACAGGGGTTTACCCGATTTCGGTTATCTCAAGGAAATCCAATTTGAAGAGTGACACCGTTAAACATGTTAAAGTTGCATGCTTTAGAATGAGAAGAAAAAGTCGATGTTTCCTCATGATTGGTGGCGTTATCTTTTTGATAATCGTTATTTTGCTTATTGTAGTAGCATCGAATCACAATGGCAATGATAAAGCTCCAGCTATTTCGATAACTGTTATAGAAGAAATCAAGCTAAAAGGTAAGATATCACTATCAGCTGATCAAGTCGTTCCAGACAAAAGTCCTCAATAACGGTAGAAAAATAAATAAAAAAAATAATATATTAATGAATAAAAAATTGTTAACTTTTTTCAGCTTTCTGCATGTCCGCTAATATAATTTCCGTTATCTTTTCTCTCTCCTGCTTAATCCCTAATTCTGAGTCTGGAGCGATTTTTTTATTTGGCTGCCTTAGAATCCCTTATCAATATCTATTAAGTCTATTCGGTAAAATTTTACCAACTACCTTTCCTCTTAACTTTGGGATTCAAAAGGCTTCATATTGTCAGTCAGGGGTAATAATTATACATGTACAAGTCATTTTCAATTACTTGAAGATGTAGGTAATTTTATACTTGTATAAGTAAATTTGTAAGATTTATATTTTCTTTTCAAGGTTTGAATAATCTCTTCTTAATCTTATCCAAAACTTTACTTGTATAAGTAATTTTATTTTACAACCCCTGGAATTCTCAAGTTTTGGGAGGTAAAAACATGCCTGAAACAAATTTTCTCTGGTTTGCTTATAATTTTTAATTATAGTTGAACCTTTCATCTCACTATTTTAACAAAGAAATCAATTGCGCAATCATGTTAAGTAACAGCGCAAGGCCTTCAAAAATTGCCAATGGAGGCTTGCAAATGAGCAGTATTTTGAAGATAACAGACAAATGCGATTTTCAGTGTCCATGAAATTATACTTATATGATTAGTAAAGACATCTGCAAAGGATAGACATTTAAGCACTCTATTAGAGCAAAATAGTCAAGAGAAGTTCAAGAAAAGAAGAAAATATGATTTTTGATTGAACCCCCTGATGGGTTCACGCCTAAATATTGGTGAGTTTTGGTAGCTTCTATGGGCCATTCGGGCATTTCCGGAAACAAGATTCTCAGAACTTCTCGAAAATGTTCGATCATTTATATAGGTAGATATCTATGTCTTTGATACGGTCCCGCTATGGATAGGCTACCACGTGTCATTTTATATTTCAACAATCAATTAAAGTTCATTAGTAGATTGTATATGTAGTAAAGAAATAAAGACTAGGTTGCATTAAAAAAATCATTTATATGTTAGAACCTATTTGCCTTTTGACAAAACATATGTGTTTTTAAAAGCATTTGCTTTTACTGTCATCGTTATTGCCATTTTGTTTATCGTCAAAATAGAGTGCACACGTTTTTCGTTCTACAGTTCTTTCAAGATCGTGTAAAAGTATGTGTTTGCTTGACTTTTGTATTGAAAATGAAGCCAATTTTATTAATCATTCCTCAAATGCAATATTTGATTGGAAGTTTAATAGTTACCCCTTTTGCACAGAAAGTTTGATCCGCTAAAGGTTACGTAACAGACTTCATTTACGAACGCAGTGATTCAAGAAATTCACCGCCCTCTGACGGCTAATCTCGATCCGTCTTATTACCAGTTTTACGTGTACCAAAACGGTTAATATTTTTGCTAATTAAATTTTGCTGTTATAAAAGAACTAATAGGTGCTCTCTTGCTTGACGTTTAGATATCAAAATACGTTTGTTGATTTAATTGGTGTATCGTATTGGTAAACCTTACTGTGTTTGCCGATCTGCAACAAGTTGTTTATCTTCAAGTGGTAGTTTGTAGTATTAAGATATGGCATTATCGGACTGGTTTACGATGCCCGGTATTTCGTATGGAAACAGTTTAAAAGAAACATCTAGATTTTGAAATTTTCTTCTTCTGTAAGATATACAGCAAATGCTTTTTCCAGCGCTATAACGCTTTGATTAATTATGCAAATGTTTATTAAATATCAAGTATAATGATAAAGCAATTATATTCATATAATATAATTCATGCTTTGAGGCGGTCCCTGTACGTGTTGTGTGTGTAGTTTTAACACAGCGTACTGATATGCATTGTGATAATAAACCTGGGAATAGTTTATTAATATACATATCCCAGGATAAACTGATTATTTCTTAACTTGTATCACGTGATATTTTGTATTTCAATCATAGCCTGGGAAAATGTCGGAAAGCATGAAGAAAATTAACAAAACGTGATATTTCTGTTCTAAATATTGATCTAAGGTCGGAAACACAGAGATCGGAAAGCACAAAGATAATTAAACAAAAGGATGTTTCTGTCAAAAATATTTAATTTCATTACTAGATACTACCAGACCAAGAGATAATTCGTTACAATTATTAAGTTTAAACTGAGACTAAATTTATCCTTTAATAGAATATAATTAAAATGTTATATATACGTGTATTATGTCCCACAGGTTTGAACAGTGAATACATTTATGAAAATTATATGCAACATATGAGCACCAATGAGCGGGGACGCGTATACATAAAATAGTGTCTGAATTTTTAACAGTAGTGAATGAAAAAATATTCAGTGCATGGTTTCATTTCACAAGGATTTTAAAACCTTGCATCTCGCAATAACGTTATTAATATTTTACAATACTCATAAAAAAAATAATTACTACGCTAATTATTTTATACTGTTTCAGTATGGATTTATAAGTCTCTGCTTATATTTTGTATAGCAATATATTCATGAAATTCATATATGGAAAGTTTATATAGAGTTTAAGAGAGATTGATTTGATAAATAAAATGTCCATCAGTAAATATTTGACGTTTGTGTTAATTGATATTATATCCTAAATTTTCGGAAAAGATCCATTAACAAGAATGTATGTTAATAATTAAATTTCAATCCTTTTTTGTTTTGTTTTAAATAGTTCAACCTTATAGCATCTAAATCTTTGCAATATGGTACGATTTGGAAAATTGTTTTCATTGTGTTGACCAGCTATCCTACATGTCTTGGTTCATTTACATTATATATCACCCTGTTCTTACGACACACTATTGGTTTGCGTTCAGACACATTCCGGATTAAATGGAAATGAATCCGGAGTCAAAACGCTTGAGGTAGGTAGTATGATATCCGAATTCAACTATTAAACATTACATTTAAGGTAGCAATACACAGTTAGGAAAAAAATTATTTGTATGACATGTACACATGTATGACACAACAGTAATCTTAATTTGTAAGAAAGCATGGAAAAGGGGATGATAAACACAGTTATTTCGTAGTGCACTTCTTTTAAACAATACATTCAAATTAAATAAATGGTGAATAGACATAGATGATACCCCCCCCCCCCCCCCCCCCCCCCCCTTTGCAAAAACATTATAAAGGGTCATAACTCAAGAACCGTAAAAGTGACGCTACCAAAATTCAAACTTGATCTGTGTATTGTGGTAATAAACATTGTGTATAAGACTCATAACGTTTAGTTGAGGCAAACTAAAGTTAGAGAACGGAAACCAAAACAAATCAGCATTTTTCCCATTTGTAAAGGGGCATAACTCTAGAATGGTAAAGGTGACGCCAACAAAATTCCAACTTGATCTGTTTTTTGTGATAATAAGCATATACATGTATAAGTGTCATAACATTTGGGTGAGGCAAACTTAAGTTAGAGAACGGAAACGAACAATTCATCAATTTTTCAATTTGTAAAGGAGCATAACTCTAGAATGGTAAAGGTGACGCCACCAAAATTCAAACTTGATCTGTGTTTTGTGGTAATAAGCATTGTGTATAAGTTTCATAACATTTGGTTGAGGCAAACTTAAGTAAGAGAACGGAAACGAAAAATTCATCAATTTTTCCATTTGTAAAGTAGCATAACTCTAGAATGGTAAAGGTGGCGCCACAAAAATTCAAATTTGATCTGTCTTTTGTGGTAATAAGCATTGTGTATAAGTTTCATAACATTTGGTAGAGGCAAACTATAGTTAGAGAAAGAAACCAATTTCGGGACGTACGGACGTACAGACGGACAAGGGTAAACTTAATGCCCCCTTCGCTACGGCGGGGGCAAAAATCATTGCACCTGCTCTGTCTCAAAAAGATTTTTACACTGTATAGTTTACTACTTTTCGGACAAACTATATCAAAATTATAGAAAATTCTATCAGCTCTAACTCAAAATATGGACAATTCTATGTTAAGGGGGTCTATAATTTAGTTTGACAGTTTCAGATACTAGTTTTTGACTTTTTTTAACTGGAATAAATCACTTCTTTACCTAAAAATTCATCACCCATTTTTAGGCAGTTAAGCTGCCTTATGCTAGCAGTCTATATTTGCTTTTTTTTCCCGGGAATACTGAAATAAGTGCCATTGGCCTTATCTGATCTTATCTACGTAGCAGGCTGGTAGGTTGTGTATAACTAATTGGACACTTTTTTCATGCTTATAGTTCTGGAATACAAACAAAATATGTCTAATATAAAATAAAATGATCGTCGAACAACCCGAAATCAATGACGTTGCACATTGTAAATGGTGCTCAATGGAAAGCCTTACATTGTTTTTTTTATCTTCTGCGCTTTTGATTACGATGTTTAAGAGCAATTCAGTGTATGAAATATTTCATCACCGAAACTTTCTATATACAAGTCGTTTAAATTTGCCAAATGACAAAATGCGCATGAATATCGTTTGGCAGTAATTTTAAATTAGTAGATGAAAAGTAGCTTTCAAGACGTTTAGCTGTGATACTATATTTTTAATAATGCAACTTTGTTTATATGAATCCTACCTATTACCTACAGTGAAATTAAACGTAGCAGTCTTTTGGCAGTCATGCATTGATCACTTTAATAACGCTTTCATTCCTTAATTTCTATTATATCACTCCGTTTTATAACATAACTGGCCCTGTCAAAGTTGTATACGACAAATGATTTAATGGCTTCCAAGTTCAAGATTTTGATCACGTGACAAAAGGTCAGAGTTTACCGTGTATGCATTGTTTTGATGGTTGGTTATATTTTTTTTTTACATCGTATCCTATTTGTACTTTTATACGATGAACGTTTTATTTTTGTTATTGATGAAAAAATAATTAATTCTAATTCTTTTAAATTTTCTCACGTACAACACTCATTCAATGTGACACTCGCGTCAAACAAAAACCTGTAAAGGGCCCCTTTACTACTTCGCATAAACGGAAACAGCTATAAATATTTTACATACGGGTCATTGAAAAATTTATTTATAGATCAATAACATTCTATTTTTATAATTTCTTTTGTCACGGAGACAAAAGGAAGCGCCGGGCGGTAAACAACACATAAAAATTAACAGACCGAAGTTGTTTATAATCCTTATTGAAAGAATTAAATCAACGTTATATGAAACAAATTTATTTTATTGAATTTAACAAGAGACATATATTTCTTTGATTTAACACTGTGACATATTGAGCATAACTCTCCATCCTTTTTCGGGGATTTCCTGTTCTTCCAATCATGTTTGACCCGTAATTTCCGATTTCGGATTGCATACATATTGCTCAATCCCGACCAGAAGACCAAGGCCACCATTACAATATGGCCGATTGAAAAAAAAAGTGCGTTTATTCTCAACTACAATATTATAAGCATAGTTGTTTCCATAAACATAATAGAACCAAAACACAAACTATCGATCCCAATTGTACTTTTTTACGTCCATAACATTATCGTAAACTTTAACACAACTTTATGTCCGAGACAAGACTCGTGAAATTTATGCAAACAGCAAGGAAACCCCTTTCGGGTACCTAACAACTTACCCCAGCAATCCTTTCCGACAGCAAGGGGTCATACCTCAGGGACCAGACAGTCAATAAGTTTGACAGAAACATAATCTGGTGGTGTAGCGGAGGAGTGACCATTGAAGACCGATATCATTGGCTGAAGACAAACATTGGTAAACAAATTGAACAACTTGGCAACATCAGTGTATACATATTCCTTGGCACATGTAACCTTACTTCCAAGAACAAAAACGGTGAAATTGCCCTTACATCGCAACAGGAACACTTCACAGATGAAATAATTAACAAACTTGGCCAATTTGTCACATTGCTCAAAAAATATCCATCATCAAAACTTGCTATACTAGAAATCCCAGCCTACTCTATCACAGAATGGAACAGGTACAATTAAAAAGCATAAAAACCCTGAAACTTTTAAAGACCAAGATAATCATTTGCAAAAACAAATTGAAACCATAAACGAGTGGATCCACATTACAAATCGGGAACTCTGCAGTCACTCTCCATTATTCAACCACCATCTTCGTGCTCGAAAACAACAGCCAAGAGGGAAACACAAGCCTTGCAAAAAGTATTATAACGTCAAATTGTACAAGGACGGAATTCACCCAAAGCAGCTGCTAGCTAAAGCCTGGCTAGCAGAAATAGTCGAACAAGTCCAGAAAGACTGTTGGGCATAAGTTAGTGACACTTATATTAAAGCTTATAAAGATCAGGAGGCATGGAATGACCAAGCCACACTGACCCCTTCAAGTAACTAGTATCAATATGCTGTTTGCTGTGC